CTTCCGTGGGTTAGGAGTGCCATCTGCCCATTATATCATTCGATAAAGTATGATAGTAAAGTAGTCCGAAAAAAGATAGATAGACAGAATATACTTTATTAGTAAGGTATAAGGTATAAGATAAGATAGTACAGTAAAAAAAAATCATCATAATCATCATTTTAGCTCATAAGACGTTCATTGCTACAAAGGCCTCCCCCAAAAATCTCTATGACCATCGGTCAGTAAAGAAAATACATAAACAATAATAACATATCAAAGAACACGTGTATAATAACTACCTTATTGCTACAAGCAATCGTTTCAAGGCGACCTCAAGAAAAGGGTTTAAATATCGAACAGGGTAGAATGCAAACAGGAGAAAAAAAAGCAAATACCTACATAATGGTGATATAACTTATAAATATAATAAAAATAACACAAAAGCGATTGTGATTAGCCTTTGTGTATACTTTAGACCATAAAATTAGAAATACTCAACGATTCCTATGAAGTTACACAAGTCAACAACATTTACCAGCATGTTAGGGCTCGTACACAATGGCTGCTAGTATGTAATTGCGTGGGAGCGCCAATTGCGTCGTCGCCCCCTACATTATGGAATGTTCGAGAACGGGAAATTCTTTGATAACAACAGCCTGTATATGAATGTAGTTCAGTACAGCGAAATTGTTTACGACTTCTGGAATAGTGAGGGACCATTTTTATTGTTCCGTGATCGAGTTATGTTGTATATAATATTACATTTATATTTTATATGTAGTTTTATGTAATAAAATTTTACTTGACAAAGTTTTGATCGGCCTCTTTTTATTTTATATATTTTTCACTATTTACAGTCTCTTTGCAATATTAAAGTTATTTCTAAAGATCTGATCGCTTTTTAAGATATATAACTAGTCTTTATTTAGTTATTGTTAGTTTTATACTATTATTATTTATAGTACCTTTTTCTACTACTCCACAATTCCTCTCAGTCACTCAAAGGTTGAATGAAAGAAATCCCTCTTTTAGAATTAGTTACCTTTGTACTCATTTCCTACATAATCTGTACAATAAAGTATTATATACCAACCTTTTTTATATTTCCTATTTGGAGGGATTTGTCCTACATATATACATATCATAGGTAAAACTTGTTTTTTTAATATAGAGATTACAATAATGTCAAAGCTGGAATGATATGACTTTTTTCTTTGGCTTTCAGTTACATTATTAAATATTTTATTCTATTAATTCACTATTCCACGCGGACGAAGTCATGGGCACAGCTAATGTTAAATATTTTTAATCAAATCACAACACAATATATCAACCCAACCTTTTGGGGGTGAAAAGGGATTGTTAAAAATGACTGATGACCTTATTGCTAGTAATGAATACCCATGTCAGGTTGACCTCCACGCGGTTCCCCCTGGAAGCCATCGTGAATTTGTCACGATGGGCTAACTGACCTGACCTCATGCTCATCTTATCATCCTCCACAGGTGCTCCGCTAGGGTAAACTGTTAGCGCAGTCGGGTGCACCATTCCATTATCATACATAAAAAATACCCAATCTTTGTTGCACACCTCGTCTAAAATCACAATTTCTTAAATATAATATATATATATATATATATATATATATATATATACATCTGAGCAGCCGCTAGCATGTCTGAGTGGCTGCCATTTTGTTCGCCATAAAATGTAACGACCTCCAACCGAGACCTAAATGACTGTGGAGTATTCGATAAAGCTTTGCATAAATGTGCTGTATAAATATTTTTTTAACGAACGCACGAAGTGTGTGTAATATTTCAGTTGACTGGCGTGATGAACTACATCGGATTGGAGTACGTGGCCATAAATAAAGCAGATAATTTATACATACATACATACATACTGCGCGTGTGTCATATTTTTATAAATATTATATTCCTAGCTAGCTGTGCTCGCGGTTTGACCGGTGTGAAATAGCCTATGTGTTATTCTGATGTATAAGCTATATCAGGGTAAAGTTTCAAGAAAATCCGTTCAGTAATTTCTGCGTGAAAGAGTAACAAAGATCCATTTATACTCACAACTTTCGTATTTATAATATTAATAAGATTAATGGAAAGAGTGGTCGCGCTATGGTCTAAATTCGACCATAATTAATTTAAATTAAGTCTGAACATTCTTAAGGTTTTTAGAACATTATTCTATTCTATTATATTCTTCTATCTTGTATTGAGTTTATTTGGATAAAGATTATTTCTATTTATATATCTATGCTTGTCTGTATATATTACATGGTAGTCTGTAATGTTTTTTTTATTGATTTTATGTCCTTTTTATATTTAAAAAATATTAGCATTCTGCACTCCCTCTATTTGTAAACCATATGTACAAAATTTCATCCCCCTTTTACGAAATTTCCTACATCAGCGCAAATTTCGCAAAAAGGGGTACAAAGTTTTTGCTTCACATTCGATTTTATCGATCCATATAAGTATAATGACTTTATAGAATAGAAAATCATTTATTCAAATAAACTTATATTGAAGCACTTTGGAAGAGTCATCACATTTTTTTTTCAATCTACCGCTCATTCGGAAAACTGTCTCATTACAAGAAGAATGGTGAAGAATTTTGAGTATTGCTCTTTTAAATAATTTGATTGTTGCTTTACATTTTTAACTTGAAGTGTGTGAATACAAACTACCAACTAGCGCTATATTAAACAATAAAGACACTTATTGTAAATTTAGTTTGATTTACATTATTTAAATTACAATATATTATATATTGTAATTTAAGTAATGTAAATTAAATATTGTAATGGGTGAAAACTGTGATTGGTACAGTTTATGCTGTAAATAATATAAATGACGTAGTAGAGTAACTTGAAACAGTCATGCCCGCTATAAAGTTCAAACTTGTGGCGGCGTGGTGGGCCGGGTCGATGTGCTCTCTCTAATATGGTTCAGTGCAATGATGGCTGGCTCATCCGTCATACTCGTGAACGGGTGCTGCTTGTGGGGACTGGTCTGTTCACGTTGCGAACACTAATTAGATTTTTTTGTTTTGCAATAGCATATGCTGCTGGTCACTCTATTCTCCCAAATTTGAATTTAAATGAATCTGTATTATTGTAAATATGTACAACATTTATTTAAAAAAAAATACGTTTTGAGTTTCTTGTCAGTTCTTCTCATCTCTATATCACTCCGAACTGACGGTAGATTTGACATATTATAAGAGTCTGTAATAGACCTACATGAATAAAGATATTTTGAAATTGAATTATAAAACTGAAGAATTTTATTCGTTTGATTGAATGCCACTAATTTCAAAAATTCCTTGTTTAAACAAATTCTGTGTTAAGTAAAAAAAAAATCTAATTAATCAAATTTTTAGGAATGATATAGCTCACATCAAGAGTTTTCAACGAAATCGCTCATCATCTACTTCTTCCTTATCCCATTTATTTGAGGTCGACGTAATATATTTTTCTCTACCATTCATCTCTATTCGCAGTCATCTTGTTATTTATTATAAATTCTTTATTGCACTTTGAAATATAGTAGTAAACTTAATCATATACAAAGTATTATTTACTCCCTTTCTTGCCAATATATCTTTCTCACAGTCCACCCATCTCTTTTTCACCCTTCCTCTCTGTCCTCATTCCCACTCATATATAACACCTTTCTTAAAATATTAACGATTAATCAACCAAAACGCTAAAAATAATTAAATTATTTAATTTAATCTTCAGTCGTATACTTGGCGACCTCAGTGGTCTAACGGTTTAGCACGCCGCTTTACGTCCAATGATCGCGGGTTTGATTCCTCGCACGGTCCGAACATTTGTATTCATGAGTATGATTATTTGACTTGGTCTGAGTGTTTTCTATGTATAATATGTGTGTATTTACAAAAAAATATCTATATATTTATAGTACCCACAACACAAGTTTTGCTTACCTTGGGATTAGATGGCGCTGAGTGAATTGTCCTCGGATATAAAATAAAAGAATCCTAATAATCCTAATTTAATAACTAATAATTTTTATTATTATAATATATATACATATATATATATTATTACCATCATAGTATATAGTGTACATTCGTATATTAATTTAACGTAGAATGCATATTTAAGCTTCAACAACCCCATAAAGCTTAGTACGCAAAAACAGTACCGCAAACTCAATTTATATATACATATGTACATAAAGATTATCCACACTACATATATATAGTTATAAGCCGTGTTGTATTAATAATTTATAATGGTTTGAAACAAAGAGAGTCTTGAATAAATTCAGCGTTATTTCTTCCTTGATGTTCATATTTTATTGCAGTTATTAACTATTCTTTATGGAGTTATTTACCAGCTGTGCACGCGGTTTCACTCGTGAAGTTTATATTTCAGTATTATTATTATATAATATTCCAGTTGACTGGCGTGATGAACTACATCGGATTGGAGTACGTGGCCATAAATAAAGCAGATAATTTCTACATACATACATACATACATACTGCGCGTGTGTCATATTTTTATAAACATTGTATTCCTAGCTAGCTGTTCTCGCGGTTTCACCGGTGTCAAATTTATAGCCTATGTGTTATTCTGATGTATAAGCTATATTATTGTAAAGTTTCATTGAAATCCATTCAGTAGTTTTTGCGTGAAAGAGTAACAAACATCCATCCATCCACCAACACTCACAAACTTCCGCGTTTATATTAGTAAGAAATAAAATAATATCATTTTTACGACTACGACACCGCACGCAGAGACAATAACTCTGCGTGCGGTGTCGTAGTCGTTTTTAAAAAACTTATAACCGGCGCAACGGACGCCACGCAGTCTGTACCTAGATGCGATCGACACCGCACGTCTTATCTCTAATTAACCTTATAAAATTTATGTGTCGAATATAAATCCAATTGTTTTAAAAGTCTTCGTTTTTGCCATCACCGTGACCTACCATATTTTATACCATACATTTGGTCATTCGGCCGGATTTATGTACCGTACACCACCAGCGCACACAATGGTAGGCACCCGAAGTACTGCAGGCAATAAGGACTGCATGCAGACGGAGCAGCATCCTCGTTCTGAACAGTATCAAGATACGCCACGGCCGAGTAATATGAAGCCTACAGAAGAGAAGACGGCGACCGTTATGAGCACAAATTCAAAAGCGGGTACTTGTAAAGAAGAATGCCAACCGTCGACGCCCGTTACAACGAAGCGTGCAAAGTCCACGAAGTCTTCGTATTCATCTGTACTGGCACGTAAAAAGCAGTTAGAACTCGATGCTGCACAGAAGAAAGCTAAAATTCAAATGGAATTAATTGACAAACAATTGGAAGCAGACCTAGCTGATTTAGAAGCAGAATACAGTCCAGACCTAGAGGATAATCGCACCAACATTAATAGTAATGTGGAGAGGTGGGTCGAGCACAGCCAGCAAGAATTGGAAAACACACAGTTTGCCCACGATCATGGTTTTCAACAGGGTGACACGTGTCCGCCAGCAATAGATTCTGGCACTAATGGTACTACAGTTCAGATGCTAGCAAGCGCTCTAAAGAACATGGCCGCCGCCTCTGCGAATAGCAACTCGAATGCTAAACTATTGTCTCGATTGAGCACGCCGAAGGATTTGCCATACTACTCAGGGGACCCCATGGAATGGCTGCAATTTAAACAGGCCTATGAAGAATCGACTGAAGTCTGCAACTTCAATCCGAAGGAAAATTTATGGCGTTTACGGAAATGTCTACGTGGAGCCGCAAAGGAAGCGGTATCAGCTTTACTCATCAGCGCCGTAACTCCTGATAAATTAATGGCGACACTGGAACTAAGGTTCGGTAATCCAGATATAATTATATCACGCTTGATACAAGAATTAAAAAAGTTACATCCAGTGTCACAAGAATATCAAAAGGACATTGTGTACTTTGCTGTGAAAGTGCAGAATTTCGTGGAAGCAACACGAGCCGTCGGCCGCCAGGAATATTTACAAGGTATAGATGCATTTACATTATTATTATCTAAGATGCCAACTGTTCTTGTATCTAAGTGGTCAGATTATAGTTACACATTGTTACTAGAAAGAAAGAAATCTAGATTAGAATTATTATCCGAATTTCTAACTCAAGAAGCAGTAAAGATTTCCGCAACATCTAACTTATGCTTAATAAATGCACGCAGCGATAAATATAAAAATTATGATAATAATATAAGTAGCAGATCACATTCTGTTTTAGTACTGAATGATAAGTGTCAATACTGTCGTGTTTCAAGACACGATTTAACAAAATGTACGCAGTTTAAAAAAGCGCTAAGAAAAGATAGATGGCGATACATTAAGCGTAACAATCTTTGTTACAAGTGTTTATTGTCAAGTCATGAGCGCGAAACATGTCCGGCGCCCGCCTGCGATAAAGATGGCTGCGGCGGAGCGCACCACCGGCTTCTGCACTACCCCGTACCCACCGGGTGCAGGACTAGCAACGTCACCGCCGAACAAGTGAACGAATGTCCACCCGTGAGTGAAACTGTGACCCATATTAACGTAAATAATCAACAAGTGTTATTAAAAGTAGTGCCGGTAAAAATTCGTGGACCATACGGTGTTATTAATACCACCGCCTTACTTGATGACGGTTCAACTGTGTCGCTCATAACTACCGATCTCGCTAACCGCGCGGGACTGAGCGGCCCCAGCGACACATTACGTATGTGTGGTGCATGGAATAATTCTGTAAATTTATGTAACACTACTGTTGTAACCTTTGATATTTTCTCTGTAATTCATATGATAATAATGATGTGTATACTGTAAAAGCTCGTACCATAAATAATTTAGATTTGCCTATACAAGATTTATCTACTGTTAATTACAACTTGTATAAAAATTTGCGTAAAATTAAAAATAAAATTGTGTGTAAAAAAATTGAAACCTGAAATACTATTAGGGCAGGATAATTATCATTTGTTAATTCCTTTGCAAACTAGTTTAGGTAATAAGAATGAACCCGTCGCTACACGCACTCCCTTAGGTTGGTGTATACATGGTTGTTTAGGTATACCGGAACATAAACAATCGTCCCACTCGACCCTCCTTATCTCTGAGTTACACAGCTTACCAGTCGACGAGAGCGAGCGCATGTTACGAGACATCCATGACGAGGTGCGACGGTCATTCACCATCGAGTCCATGGGAGTGTCAGGTAAGCCACGGGAGAATGCTGAGGATATCCGTGCCCTGACAGTGATGGAGCAAACTGCTATACTCATCAACGGCAGGTGGGAGGTTGGGCTACCATGGAAAGATGAAAGCTGCAGGATGCCAAATAGCTTCCCTAACGCTGTACGCAGATTAAAAGGTATAGAAAAGAAAATTATGTTAAATACGGAATATGGTAACAGGTATGTCGAACGTGTTAATCATTTATTACAAAATGATTATGCCAGAGAGTTGGAAGACTGCAGTGTCTCGCCACGGACATGGTACTTACCACATTTTGGGGTAGACAACCCAAATAAAAAAAAACTACGTCTGGTCTTCGATGCCGCAGCTGGCACAAATGGTTTGTCATTAAATGACTATCTACTGAAGGGGCCGGACCTACTTACATCTCTGTTCGGCATTATGGTAAGATTTAGGGAGAACAGAGTAGCGGTGACCGGCGATATAAAAGATATGTTTTTAAGGATAAAGGTAAGAGAAGAAGACCAGAACGCACTCAGATTTCTGTGGAGAAGCAGTCCTGCAGAACATGAAAAAACGTACGTGATGACGTCATTAATATTTGGCGCGAAATGTTCACCGTTCATAGCTCAATTTATTAAGAATAAAAACGCACTAAGGTATGAGTCATCGATGCCAAACGCCGTAGCAGCGATATGTAATCAACATTATATGGATGACTACATAGACAGTTTGCCAGACGAGGCCGCCGCCATAACAATGGTACGTAATATTAGTAAAATTCACAAATCAGGTGGTTTTCATATTTGTAATTGGACTAGCAACAGTCCAGCCGTATTGGATAGTATTCCAAAGGAGTCCTTGGGTACTACGGCCGTAAAGTTCAAAATAGATCAAGAATGCGAAGGTGAACGTACGCTCGGATTGATATGGTACCCGCGCGAAGACGAGTTGGGGTTCGATGTGTCTCTCAAGCGCATACCACATGACATAATTAATGGTAAAAATAGACCAACAAAAAGAGTTATGCTCAGAGTCATAATGTCAATATTCGATGTATTTGGATTCTTATCGCCATTTACTATACAAGGTAAAATAATGTTGCAAGATACCTGGCGCGCTGGAATCAGCTGGGACGACTTAGTAACAGATGACATACATAAAAAATGGTGTCAGTGGGTCAATGTACTAACGAGTGAAATAAAAAATATCCGTCTGCCGAGGTGGTATCAAGCAGCGACGAGTGGGAGCGAGTCAGCGATAAAACGTAGCACATCAGTTCAGGTAAACATAACCTCTCTCACCTCTCTTACATCTACAAGCGTAACCGAACGGGCTATCGGCTACGAAACTGGCGTAGCTAATAGCTGCGCTACGACATCCCGCTGCAATGACGTAGTTACAGGCGCTACGAAACAGGTTTTGGCTGGAAGTGAATATAGTAATTTAGAGTTACACTTGTGTTGCGATGCGTCGACTAAAGCAATGTGCGCAGTCGCATACTGGCGATGGTACGTAAATAAAGATATATGTATGTCATTCATAGCTAGCAAGTGCCGTGTCGCGCCCGTGAGTCATACTACCGTGCCGCGTTTGGAATTGCAAGCTGCTTTATTGGCTGCGAGGTTGGCAGATACAATAATCAGAGAACACAAAATAAATCCAGTAAGGCGTTATTTTTGGTGCGACTCTAGTACCGTGCTACACTGGATATGTAATAATACACGTAGCTATAAAACGTACATAGCAAACCGGCTGGGTGAAATAGACGAGCTAAGCCGCCCTGAGGAGTGGCGGTATGTACCTACAAAATTAAATGTTGCTGATCTCGCTACGAGAGAAAATTACGACAATTCTCTTTTTAAAAATGAATGGTTTAGAGGTCCGACATTCTTATACAGCGATGAGTCATCGTGGCCGGTGAATATAATCGATAAGATAAATGAAATGAGTTTAGAACGAGTAATGATAATACAACATGAAGATTGTAACTTACCTGTACCTGACCCAGGAAGATTTTCATGCTGGTTACGACTGGTGAGGGCTACGGCATGTATTCTAAAATTTATATACAAGTGTAGAAAGCAGATTGAGACTGTTTGCACAGTCATGAAGAGGTCTGAGCGATTGCTGCTAAAATATACACAAGAACAGTCATTCGGTGATGAAATAGCTGCAATTAAAAATGGTAACTGTTTGTCAAAAGGTAGTAAGTTACTTACGTTATCTCCATTTCTGGATGAGTACGGGATTCTCCGTGTCGGCGGCCGCATAGATGCTGCACCGGATGTTGAACCTGAAATGAAGAGACCTATCATCTTGGACGGGCGTAGTCAGGTATCTCAATTAATTGTTAGATACAACCATGTGAAGACAGCCCACGGGAACCAGGAAACCGTTGTAAACAACCTGAAACAGAAATATTGGATTATTAGAATACGTCCAACCGTAAAACATGTAGCATATAAATGTATGTTTTGTAGAATAAAAAGAGCAAAACCACAGGTACCGAGAATGGGAGAGCTGCCTGAAGCACGACTGGCTCATCATCAGCGTCCTTTCACACACTGTGGTCTGGATTTGTTTGGACCCATGGAGGTCACTGTGGGGAGACATAGAGAGAAAAGGTATGGAGTTTTATTTACTTGTTTGACCGTCCGTGGAATCCACTTAGAACTGGTGTCATCACTTACCTCTGACTCCCTCATTATGGCTCTTCGTCGAATGGCAGCAAGACGGGGTTGGCCTCGTATGCTGTACTCTGATAATGGTACAAACTTGAGAGGCGCTGATGCTGAGCTGAAGAAGTCTATAAATGAGGTAGATTTTGATAGGCTAACAAATGAAGCAGCTAATAATGGAGTGGAATGGACCTTCATCCCGCCTGCCAGTCCCCACTGGGGTGAGGCATGGGAGCGACTTATTAGGAGTGTCAAGACTTCACTTAGGGTAATTTTAAAAGAACGTGCACCACGTGAAGAAGTACTCAACACGCTCCTGACGGAAGTTGAGAATATTGTCAACAGTCGACCCTTGTCACATGTATCGGTAGAAGTAGGTAGTAGTGAGTCTCTAACTCCTAATCATTTTATGTTGGGTTCGTCATCAAATTTGCCAACTGTTGGTGTATTTAATGACTCTGATTTGTACCTACGTAAACAGTGGCGTAAGGCGCAGAGGCTCGCTGACATGTTTTGGAAGCGGTGGGTCAGAGAAGTGCTTCCTGACCTAATATCTAGGCGTAAATGGCAGTACGACCAGACACCGATACAGGTAGGTGATTTTGTACTTATTGTCGATCCTGATGCACCTCGTAATTTCTGGCTGAAAGCTGTGGTTCAGCAGGTGTTTCCAGGAAGGGATGGTCGAGTTAGGGTCGTAGAACTGAAAACTAAGTCTGGCATTTTGAAGCGGCCGGTGACGCGTGTCGTTCGTATTTCGATGGATAATGAGTGCTGAGCTAGGCTCAACACTGGGGTGGGGTGTGTAAGCGACGCGTTCTGTGCCTTAAAAAACAAAATAATTAAAATGATGTTTGTCTATGTTATTGTCTCTGCGTGCGGTGTCGTAGTCGTTTTTAAAAAACTTATAACCGGCGCAACGGACGCCACGCAGTCTGTACCTAGATGCGATCGACACCGCACGTCTTATCTCTAATTAACCTTATAAAATTTATGTGTCGAAAATAAATCCAATTGTTTTAAAAGTCTTCGTTTTTGCCATCACCGTGACCTACCATATTTTATACCATACGGTCTGTATGGTATAAAATATGGTAGGTATAATATGGTAATATGGTAGGCCTTTTAATAATATATGGTAGGTATAATATGGTAATATGGTAGGCCTTTTAATAATATATTTTAGTCATCATATTATATATTTTTTTTAAGCTTTTTAATTTTAGGTTCTTAGTTGTATAATTAGGTTATGTCAATACTAGTAATAAATACGAATTTACTTTGTGTGTTCTAAATATAGTAAACCACAATAAATGATTATATACTCGTCAGTTCTGTTCCCTAATATTATATATATTCTGGCTGATCATATAGGCATTAGCCTATTTTATCCTAGTCCCTGTTCACAGGAACCCTACTCTCGAAAACCGTAAGTGATGTTAGGATTTACATTAATATTGGGAGAAAAATCCAATAGTTTAAAATATTAAAAGAAGGTAGTTTCATTATTACTCGGTATCGTTGAACTAGTTGCGTATAACCCCCACGCATCTCTGTGAGAGGAAGGAGTTTTTGTAAGCCACGACATTCGGTCGACGATCACAGAACTTGCCGCTTGTATTTTAAATACTAAAGTGAATTGTGTTAAAGACTATGTAATTGTTAATATTGTAGACATTGGCGGGATTATCCTGGATTTAGTTAGGGTTAGGAGGATACTACAACTAGTGAAGGTAAGTGTTAATGCATTTTAAACTGACACACGTGTCACAAGTCACGGGCTCTACTTTATGGTTTCTCTATCTGCTCCATGGTAACCGGCATCAAAGCCTAAGTTGTCATCATAATTAGTGATTCTAACAGTGACAACAATAAATTTTAAACAGAAGTCACTAAGAACCAATAATAAATTGATAGAAATTCGTTAAACTTTGTAAGGAACAAAAAGCAAAGCAAATTGTTCGTACAAATATACGACAGTGTGTCTCCGCTGTTACAAATTCCCCTAACCTCGATTTATTGGCAGGAATATCTAGTTACTGCCCGCACATCCTATCGCCTTTATTCCTATTAGTTTATAGTCGATTTTCGCTCGTTATCCCAATGAAATTACTTTTGTGTTTACCTCCAACTGAACCTGTCGCGGTCGCTACTATTTCTAAGTTCTGCACTTTTGCTCCGTACGATTTTATTTCGTTCGGAATGTATTGCATTGTGTATTTTAAATTGAATTCGTATTCCGAATGTATCTTTAGTTGCTAGCAAGCAAATTAGAGTTTTATAATTGAAGAGTTTAGAGTTCAAAATGGTACGACATCCTGCTATTTGTAAACCAAATGTGTATTCGATAACAGATATTGTTGTTGAACAGAAAATGTTGTATAAATACATTAAATCGAATCAAAATATCTTTATTCACGTAGGTCTATTACAGACTTTTGTGTTATGTCAAATCTACCGTAAGTTCGGAATGCTTTCGAATTGAGAAGAATGATCAGGGTGGTATTTTTTTTCTAGCGGGTGATACGGTGGTGAAACACAGTAGCTGGTATTAATCCGAACAATTCCTCTGAACACTCCTCGTGATATATGCGGTAGAAAATGCACAGAGATGCAATACTTCGCCGCACAGCTAATGGTCACAAAGATGTTGGTTACCATGATTTCTAGCTGCTCGGTTCTAAATACGGTCAAATGATGTTGTCAGTCAAAATCAAAAAGTAAGTGCTGTTTGTTTCTATATTTTTGTATTCTGTACTTTGCATTCTTATAAATTCTTAAATATGTAAAATTAAACAACATTTGTTTATAAAAGTAACAGGCAAGTCTCTTGCTCATTCTTCTTGACTGAGTCTGCATTCCGAATGAGCTGTATAATAAAAATGGTTATTCAAAAGATTCTGTCTGTTTCTATAGTAATTAATATTTTAATTTTTAATGTTATTACATTTTAACAGCCTCGATGGTTGAGTGCTATTGCACACCGCTTGAATTTAGATAGTTGATATTTCGATTCCTCGCAATGCAAACATTAAATGTTTCCTGGTATATATTGGTTTAGGTGTTTGTTATATAAAAAAAAGTGTATTGAAATATTCTTGTTTAACTTCGGACTTGATGACTCTGTGTGTTTTTTGTGGTTTAATAGATGATAATGGAACCGGAAATGGGCATGGTACTTTGCTAGCAATGGGATTGAATTTATCACGACAATATACTCCTATAAACATAGGGGAACCGCATGGAGGTCAACTTGATTTCTAGCAATGGGGTTATTATTCAAGATAACTAATAATACCTTTGCCTAGTCTGTGTGAATTGTCCAGGGTTCTTATTATAATAATATCTTAGGACAATTCCCATCTCAAACTAAGCAGAGCTTGTGTTATGGGTACTAGACAACCGATATAAATGTATAGACACATTTTTTTGTAAAACATACATAATGTACATAGAAAACACTTTATACTCGTGAATATAAATGTTTGTACCATACGCGGTATCGAACCCACAACCATCGGAAGTAAGCGGTGTCCTAAACTACCAGTCCACCGAGGCTGTCGTATTGTTATTAATATTATTAAACATGATACGCGATTTAGCAGACTAATAAGTATATAAGTCGGCCAGTATGTATTAAGTTCGCTCGGAAAGTTGCCTACTCTATTACCTTATTACCAAAGGTTTATATCGTTAATCTGTGATAAGCGAAATTGGACCGTATTGGTTTGTAATAAGCGTAAACGGAACTCGACCCAGCAATAATCGTAATAATTGAGTCGTTATCGGTTTCTTGTTTATTGTACACGCTTGTGCTTTGGAAGTAAGATAGGGTTGTATAACTAGTATAAGGTACAACCAACCATGTTTCCCATTCTCTTCGGGCAACTAAGGAAAACGTTTCGAGATCAAATAATATTAACAAATGTGTGTGTGGATGTATGAGTGGACCATGGAAGATATTTTTTTTAATTCATGATCATGAAATGGTGCATTAGATTGAGCTGACGTTTGACGCTGGCGGGGTACAAGTGGAGGATGATAAGATGAGTCTAAACTCAGGCCATTTAGTCCATCGCGACAGATACCCTAGAAATTTATTTTATTTTATTCATACTAAGTATACAATTTATATTGATGGTTTCAAGGGTTTTTTTTATGGATGATAATAGAATGATGTACCCGCCTGCGCTAACGGTTTACGCTGGCGGGGCACCAGTGGAGGATAATAAGATGAACATGAGGTCAGGTCAGTTAGCCCATCGTGACAAATTCACCAAGAATTTACCACGATGGTTACCAGGGGGAATTGCGTGGAGTTTAATCTCACATGGTACATTGCTAGCAATAAGACCATCAGTCCACATTACTAACAATCCCCTTTCCTCTCCTAGTGAGCCCATAATGACAGATGCACTAGGAATTTATAACGAAGAATTTACAATTTTTGTTACAATTCACGCCTATCTCACACAGGGATAAATAGAAAATATATTTCAATTCAATTCAATTCAATTCAATTTATTTACTGGAACATGTGTACATAATGGTCTTAAGATTATAATAGTTTCAAACATGCCCTGCCGTTTCCGACGTGTAAAATCTTACAATAATATTTATATTACATTATTATCACATTATTATATTTAAAATTATTATTACAATACATTATTATCAAATTGTTTTATTTAAAACTATTAATACAATCCATTATTATCATTTAAATAATCATTTGTGGAATAATAACATTTATTTAGTAATTCTTTAATTAATTTACTTTTAAATTGTTTATTATTCAAATTTCTATAATTGTTTGGAGGATGATTGAAAATTTTTATGGCCATACAATATACATTATTTGAAAAAAGTGCCAATCTTTGTTTAGGGAGATATAGCTTGTATTTATGTCTACTTCTACTTTCTGGAATGTCACAGTTTCTCTTAATTTTTGTGGGTATTTGTCAACGAACATGCACATTTCATATATTATATATACAGACAAGGTAGAGGGAAAATATTAAGTTTTTTAAATAGTGGTACGCAGCTGTCCCTTATATGCGCTCCACATAGTGCTCTGATACATTTTTTTTGTATTTTAAATACTTTTTCGAAGTCTACAGAATTTCCCCATAATATTACACCATATCGTAGTAGTGACGAAACATAGCCATGATAACATGAAAGAGATGCTTGTAGAGTAGCAACTTGTCGAATTCTTTTTAGTACATAAACAAATCTATCTAATTTATTTATAAGTTAAATATATAAGAATAGAACTATAGTATAGAATATAACTATAGAAACTAAAGCTCTGAGTCTTTGATAACAAATAGGCCTTGGTCGTGTCCAAATCCATCGATATAGGTATTCATAAAAATGGATAAGATTTACTTCGCCTCTTCACAGCACGTAGGTTTGTTATGGGATATATACGTAGAGTAAGGTAGGATTTTTACAAACTCCCATGGGAACGGATACGCTTTCCGTACGTAGTCGTCTCCTTTCCTTACTTTGCCCGCGAAATTTTCTCATGATATCATAGCGACATAGTTCGGAAAATGGAAATTTTAAACAAGGAAATTTATCATTTACCGGAACGATCTATTTTATCGAGGTACATTTGTTGTAGAAATATGTATTAAAACAATTGTAATGGGATTAATACAATGAGATGAACTTTATATAATTTTGCTTTATGGTTTCGATTATAGATTCAATAAAAATAATTTTAAATATTATACATTAATATTAACAGAGTTTCTAAACAAAATTCGGGATTAGATAAAATGTGGGTTGGGTAAAAGGGATTTTTATATTACTTAGTGCTAAAAGACCTGTAGCGCTGCGACCTGCAAAGATTTATAGTGCTCGTTCTTTTTTTAGAGTTCCCTGCCTAGGCCTGTCCTGGACAAGAATTGCAGG